ATGAAGGATTCTGAAAGTCTGACAGTAATCATGCAGCGTTGAGTGCTACTGTAATGTTAACCCTGCCTGGTTTAAATGTTTGAAAATGATCATCAGTTAAAAACATTCGTTAGAAATTTAGAAAAGTAATGAAAAAGTAATCAAATGTAATCAGTTACATTACTTTAATAAAGTAATTGAAATAGTTACACTACTTATTACATTTTAAATAGGGTAACTTGTAATCTGTAACCTATTACATTTCCAAAGTAACCTTCCCAACACTGATGATTACAGTAAAGTGAAGCTTAAATTTGGAAGCATAACTGAAAGTAAGTGATTATAGAATTGATATAATTTTTGTCTTTGCCAAGTAGTATTATTAGTAGTTTATTCAGTTTAATACAATATGAGATTTCTGTTGTGTCGGAAATCAGTTCATTGACAATTATTTTCCTTGTACTGGCTATGAGTACAAAAGTGATCCAGTGATTTACTGTATTTATGACTTCCAACCCTTTCCAGAGATGATAACCTACAAAAAAAAAAAAAAAAAATGGAACAAAAATTTATTTATAGCAAATTTTATTATGAATTTACAGTATTGGACACTGGCATTACAACAGTGCAATAAACATCTTTACAGTCAAATTTAAAATAAAGAGGACAAATTACACTTAAACACACTATAACAACAGTAGGCAGACAATGAAAAGAAGCTGCAAGAAATCAAACATTTACTGCATAATTACATAATTACAGTGCATTTACACTGTACTGACAACAACTTATTTATGTGGTTGTCTGTTGCTAAACATTTATAATGTCAGAAATCAAGACACTGTTAATTAAATATATTACCTTGCTCTCTGGGATACTTCCATCTGATTGGTCGATTGCTGCTCTCAGGTGTCAGATCGCCTTCGACCATGGCGATGCCAGCTCATCCGGGTAATAAAACCGGATACTTTCACACCGTGGATTTGCACACTCTTGTTTTATACAAATGCTACTTGCGCCATCTCAGTTATCTCAGCTGTATCTAATTGTATGTAATTGTAAAATGACCTAGTTCACCCAAACATGAAAATTCTGTAATTAATTACTCATCCTCATGTCGTTCCAAACACGTAAAACCTATGTTCATCTTTGGAATACAAATTAAGATATTTTTGATGAAATCTGTGAGCTTTATGACCCTAGACAGCAACGCAACTGACACATTCAAGGCCCAGAAGGATAGTAAGGACATCGTTAAACCAAAATCAGTGGTTCAATCATAATGTTATGAAGCTACGATAATACTTTTTGTGCACAAAGAAAACTAAAATAATGACTTTTTTTAACAATTTCCGTGTCAGTCTTCAATGCGCGTTCACGAGAGTACCACGATGCATTGTTGAAAAAAATCATTATTTTTGTTTTCTTTGTGTTCAAACAGTATTCTCGTAGCTTCATAGCATTACGGTTGAACCACTGATGTCACATGGAATATTTTAATGATATCCTTACTACTTCTGAATGTGTCAGTTGCGTTGCTGTCTATGCAGGATCAGAAAGCTCTCAGATTTGATCAAAAATATCTTAATTTGTGTTCTGAAGAGGAGCGAAGGTCTTATAGGTTTGGAACGACATGAGAGTGAGTAATAATGACAGAATTTTCATTTTTGGGTGAACTATGCCTTTAAGGAGTTTATTGTAATATTGTTACACTGTTCATAGTTGCTAGTCTGTGGATTGTAATGGACAACTGTTTTCTAAGCGGAAGCTTTTATATCATTTACAGGTAAGGTTATAAAATAATTTTTATTAATAGATAAAAAGATTAATATTTTACACCCTCTTTTTAATTTGCTTGGTGAGTTGGCGCGTCAATGTCATAATGACCCTGCCAGGGTTTATTTTGCAATATTGACCAGATAGCTATACGTAATTCCTTATCACTCCAAACTCACGACACACAAACACACATATGTACGCACAAGTACACATATACACGGGCGTAATACTATTAGCCCCTCACACACTCCATCCTCTGTCCTGGACTGTAGAGTGCTGTCCTCAGCAGACTTAAGATATAGTAAATAATTCACTTCCCCAGACAGCATGCTGCTCAGCTGTCTGCTGCCTAGCCTAGCTAAGCCTTCCCAGGATGAAATCAGCCCACACGCGTATGCTAACACACACTTTATTGATAAGGACACTCTTTTTCCCCTCTGGTTCCAGTGATTCATTGTACATGGTGTTTTTGCTCTGCAGCATAGGCTGGTTTTTGATTGCCATATGAGACTGGATAGGTTTTTCTTTGTAGCACACGAGATAAGATAAGAGAGAGAACTGGCTATCAGCAATAGTATATCCATTAATGTCGTACAAATGCTCAGTTGACACACCTTGGGAAGCTACATGGAGAACTATGCAGAATTGTAACATAGCTAAAGACAAGTTGAGGAGCAATTTATGATTGCAGGAGAAATGTTTTGTGTTTAAATGCTCAATTTCTTTATATAACTTTTTTTTTATTATTATTGCTATCTATTTTACCAACTCTTGGAACTTCAGTGCATACCAGAGAAATCTCACAATGTCTTTGTCTTCTCCTGTCTTTCTCCCTCTCTGTCTGCTCCATGCATTTTATCCAGTAAGCAGCATGGAGAAGCTGGTGCAGTGCTGTGTTAATGCTGGTGAATGATGGCTATTGCACGCACAGCAGTTCCTATAGCTTCATATCCTCCAGCATGCTGAGCTCCACCCACACATACCCACATCGTATATGCTCCTTATGTTTAAATGGTGTACCTCATTATGCTGTTCCTGAGTTAGCACCTCATACATTAGTATGCCATTCTTTCATCATTACCTCACACTTCATTATACAGTCCCTCTGTTGTTCCATCTGTTGAGAAACAAGCTCTTTCATGTGCAATTTATGTATTAGCAGTTATAGATGTATGATTTCAGTCTGAACTGGCATGGATATTTATATGAACTGAACTGAAATGTATTTGCTTGAATGCTAGATTTACTTGGTGATCCAGATTTACCATGTTGTTTTCCTCTCCGTTTCATTGCTGTGCAGTCTAGGCATGTAGGAGATTTCATTGTGAAGGACGTATTGTTCCTCTCTAAGTACTGCTCTAAGCTCTGCATGATAATGTATGTGAGTACAGGCAGAGCAGATAGATTAATAGTGATGTTCAGGCTGATGGTTTCGTTTTTGATGGATGAATACAAGCTGTGTGTGGCTTTCCTGCCATTTAACCCTCCTCCTTAGATGTCATACTGCCTCTTCGCTCTGTTTTCCCTCTCCAAGCCTCTCATCTTTATTGATCCATCTCTGTTGTTTTTGATTTTCTGTATTACCTTTGGCCCCTCTCTCTCCACTTCGTCTCTCCCTCTGGATGCCTGTTCACCTGTCATATTTTATCTGCTCTATCTTCCTGCAATTTCTTATCCCTTGTTCTGTTCCTCCTCTCTCACTGCTTTTGGTCGAGTCATAAACATTCTGCATTTTGGATGGTTGCCTTGTTCTGAACCTGTGGGGAGTAGCATACATGGCTTGCACAGATGTTATGCAATACCAGTGCATATGCAAAAAGCTCAGTGGTAAAGTTAGAGTTACGGGTACTGCACAGGGCTGCTACCAATCTGCTCTGTGACTATTATGCCTTTCAACACGGATCTCATGGATCTCCAGAGAGACTGTCCCTGTACTTTAATAGCAGCTAATTAACCCAAAGACACTCTTGTAGCGCACCCGATATTTATTCAGTTTGAGATCAACGCATCTATTTTACACATATACCACCTTCAGACTTTTTACTTGTTTGTTCTAATGCAGAATATGTGATTTTATACTCTTGCTTGAGGGTGTAAATTGTATAGGAGAATTCTATCACTGTTCAGTTGATTCAGTGTTTCAGTTATTGGCACTCATAGCCTGCAGTTTGTACATCAATGCTACATCTTTCGCAACATCAGAGCAAATTATTCATATTTAAAAGTGCGCTGAGTATTTTTCATGCATTTTATTTTACTTTAACAATTGTCTCATTCTGTCACTTCATTCTCACACAAGCGGATTAACCATATGGGCAATTTGCACTGTAGGTATTAGGTCAATTTAAGGAGGCCCACACATGACGTGTGGAGTAGTAAAAAACAAGATATCGTGGCCACAAATCAATAATTAATTCCTATACAGATTAATTTGTTCCCTCGTTTTAGGGTCAATCAATTTAACCAAGAGTCAACTACAGTAAAACATTGGGGCAAGTACAACATGGCTAAGATTTACCTAAAATTATATTATTAATTTGGGGCCACGATATGTATTTTTTTTCTGCACATCATGTGTGGGGCTCCATAGTAACCTGCTCCATGTAGAATTGTATGTTTTTAAAACTGTTGGTTCCACTTTATTTTAAGGTCCAATTCTCACTATATTAACAAACCATTAACTATGACTTTTGCCTCAATAAACTCCTAATTTGCTGCTTATTAATAGATAGTAAGGTAGTTGTTAAGTTTAGGTATTGGGTAGGGTTAGGGATGTAGAAACCAAGCAAAATTAAGATTTTAAAAGATTTAGATTGTGAATAATTATAAATACTGACTTTTACTATTATTTCCTTTCAAAAAACCCTCCTATCACTCTGTAAATCTGTACATTTCTAACACAAGACCATATTGCTAGCAGATTGATGGCTGTCTTCTTCCTTATCAGCACATAACCACAAACGGCATGGATGCATCTATTGATTAAAAGTGCTTAAGCTTTCCAAGAGCACTCTCAGACTGATCCTAGGTCAGTTTATACTATAGCGCAGGCCTATGTAAGAGATCTCACGCAGTGCTTTTTGTTTTTAACTCATGCCATAGATGGAGAAGAGGATGAGTGCATGAGTAGATTGATGCTCAGGTTACATATCGTCAGCATGTAGCAAAATCTAAAGATGAATTATTAGTTACAGGATGCAGGGCATATCATTTGTGGATGAGTTATCAGCATTTAATACTCATGCATGCCACAGATCATTGAGAAGCATACAGGAAATTATAGGGCGATGTGGGGTGTTGCCCCTGTCACTCTCTTTCATTTTCTTTTTCTCAAAACTCATCTCATCTTGCATTCATTCTTCCATGATGCAAACATAGAAAAGGACAGAGAAATGCAAGGAGGGAGATAGAGAGCAATTGGAGTGCTTCACTAATGACTCAAGGCTGTGACTGAAATATAAAGAGACACACAGATAAATTGGAAGACAACACTTATAACATAAACTATCTGTATAGGCATCTGTAGTCCTGTGAGGGGGCTGGACACTTACTGTAATGGCTCCTGCTTAATCTCAAACTATTTATTTATTTATTTATTTATTGTGTAGGAAAAAATTTATAAAAATAAAAATATTCATTGAACATAAATACAATATTTAGTTGAATTCAAGTAAAGCTGAAAAGGTTAAAGCTACATAAAACTGCAGCAGTAACATTTAAATATAATGTAAATTTGGTAAAAGTCTCTTATGGTCACAAAAGCTGCCTTTCTTAAATAATATGAAATATGTTTACAGTTTAAAATAACTGTTTTCTATTTTAATATATTTTAAAATAAATAATATTTAAAATATATGTAATGGTAAAGCTGTATTTTTAGCAGTCATTGCATTACATTTCTTATTTCTTCTTAAACTGTTGTGTCTGTTTTTATAGATATCTATTTTTGTGGAAATGTATACATGTTTTCAGGATTCTTTGATGAATACGAAGTTTAAAACAATTTTGTTTTCTGTTACTTTTAATCAACTTAATGCATCCTTGCTCAATAAAAGTATTAATGTCGTAAAAAAAACTTTACTGACCCCAGACTTTTAACAGTATTGTATATACATAAAATGACATAAATGACATAAACCAAGCTATCAAGAGTGTCAACAGCAGCCCAAGTTTCTGTCTCCCTCTTGAGGCAGAGATACGAGTCACTGTATGACTCAGGCCAATGACAAGGGGGTCTTTGAAACAGGGGTCAATTACTGTTGCCAATTATTGTATGATCTCAAACTTATTTTTGTGAAAAAATATGTGGAAGAATTTCTATTCATCAAGCTAAAGGCAATTTCAACTGTATATTCTTTTGTTACCTACATTAAGTAACAATTTCAGTCTATTATATTGTACTTCACAATATAAATTCCATTCATTGATGTTTATTACTCTGCAGTGTATCTGGTTATTGATGTAAGTTATTGCATTGTTCATTATTATATCATAACACATAATGTGTTTAAAATGAAATGAATCAATGTCCTTTCTTTTCCAATGAAAATAGTTATAATTAGCACAGTTGGATGATGGTTTAACTCGTAATTGTGTTGTTACTTGCAGGTTACTATTTTTCTAGACTGCATAATCAAAGTACTTTGAGTACAAAGTACTTAATTGGAGTTCCATCAAATAGTTCACAGGTTATGATATTATTATACGTTTTATCAAGCCTATACGGGTTTGATGCCAACTAACTCTGTCATGCATCTAATTTGGCAGCTGGTAGCTCTAACTCTTATAAACATGATGTACCCAAAATGCTGTGTGCAGGATTTAAGGCCCTCCTGAAGTGTCTTTCTGGAAAATTCTGCAGTCGGGAGCTCATCGGAATCATGGGACCCTCTGGGGCCGGCAAGTCCACTCTCATGAACATTCTTGCTGGCTACAGGTAAGCGTGCATGTATACATAGAGAAGGAATGTTCCTAGCCTTTCTTTTTATACTCATCAAGTTATCTGTCCCATATCCCTTCTTTCTGCAGAGACACAGGCATGAAAGGTCAGATCCTGGTAAACGGGCGACCCCGTAACCTCCGCACCTTCAGAAAAATGTCGTGTTACATCATGCAAGATGACATGCTACTGCCACATCTAACAACACGAGAGGCAATGATGGTGTGTGTCTGCGTGTGTTAACACGAGAAGTTTTCTATCATATGTTAATGATGAGTAGGCAGCGCTCTAGAATACTTGATTCTGATTGGTCAGTTGCTGCCATCTGTGGACAAACAGTTGCTTAATAATCACTAAGCTCTCTTTCTCTCAAATAATTCTGTAACTTCAATTCAAATCAATATTTTATGGACACTCATTTGGTCATTATCACAACCTAATCTCCTTCAGGATGACATTTTTATGAAAATGACCAGTTGATAGTACATTGCCCCTTATTTACTGTAATCTTTCTTTTTTGTTTAGGTTTCAGCTAACCTTAAACTTAACGAAAACATGGAAGTGAAAAAAGAACTGGTAATTTTTTTGCGGCATTACTTTACTGTTTGTGCAGAAAATATGTGTTCTGTTAGGAAATTATAAAAACTGTGGTTATATGGTGACATTGTATTTATGCGTTTTTCAGCCAAATAATGATATAATGTGTGACAGGTGAATGAGATCCTCACAGCATTAGGACTGCAGGAGTGCGCTCACACTCGCACCATTTCTCTGTCGGGTGGCCAGTGTAAACGGTTGGCTATTGCTCAGGAGCTGGTCAATAACCCACCTGTCATGTTTTTTGATGAACCCACCAGGTACCCATTGCACGCAGCCTTATTATTAACCATAATACTTTCAAAATTTGATGTTTGCAGTAATATTGCTCCTTTGCAAAACATTTCCTTTTAATATCCCTAAACGTGCATGTGTCTCTGTTTGTCTTTGTGTGTTAGTGGTCTAGACAGCACATCCTGTTTCCAGGTGGTGTCCTTGATGAAATCTCTGGCTCAAGGAGGTAGAACCATCATCTGTACCATCCACCAGCCCAGTGCTAAACTATTTGAAATGTTCGACAAGGTAATTGCTGTATTCTAAAATTATATTGTACTGTGAAAATGTGTTTCTGGGTTGAAGGACATATTAAGCATGTGAGGATCTTAATGTGTTCATGTTCTTGTTTAATACTCGGTCTGTTCTTCTTTGTAGCTTTATATCCTGAGTCAAGGTCAGTGTATATATAAGGGAACAGTACCGTACCTTATCCCCTACCTGAAAAACCTTGGACTCCACTGCCCTACGTACCACAATCCTGCAGACTTTAGTAGGTCCACTGTGTATGTGTGTGCATGTGTAAGAGAGAAAGTGATAGATAGAAAAGGATATGCAGCTAGAAATAGATTTTTATGTGTGCTCTCTATTTTTGTTTGAAACTTATATAGCACTTATGTAGCAGTTTGTGGATTCTATATTAGATTGTTTTCTGCCTCATTTTTTTGCTTTGGTTTGTCAGAGTTTATAAATGAACCAACATATCTTTTTATGTGAATATGTAATTAACTGTAAATTTTGATCATTAAAATAATGTAATGTTTAAAATATAATCACTTATGTACAAAATTTACACTCACTTGAGCTAAATAATCCAGTCATATCTAGGTTATGCTATTTTATTGTACATACACTCTTAAAAATAAAAGGTTCTTTATTGGCATCAATGGTTCCACAAACAACCTTTACCATCCATTGAACCTTTTCATTCCACAACAGATTCTTTACAGTGGAAAAAGGTTCTTTAGATTATTAAAATGTTCTTCACACTAAGAAAAATGGTTCTTTTAAGAACTGTTCACTGAAAGGTTCTTTGGGGAACCAAAATTGGTTCTTCTATGGCATTGCTGTGAAAACCACCTTTTGTAACCTTTATTATTAAGAGTGTAGGACAGGTCACCCCCTCATAGCTGTCATTTTGTTATAATATAATATAATATATAAATGTGGAATAATAAATGAACAGAATAAATATACAGTATTGTTTAAAAGTTTAGGGTCAGTAAATTATTTTAAAGAAATTAATATTTTTATTTAGCAAAGACAGTTAATTGACCAAAAATGAGAGTGAAGACTTTGATACTGTTACAATATATATACAGTTGTGCATATAAGTGTACATACCCCTTGCAGAAAGTGCAAAATGTTAATAATTGAAACAAAATTAAGTGAAGTGAAGTGACGTATGGCCAAGTATGGTAACCCATACTCGGAATTTGTGCTCTGCATTTAACCCATCCAAGTGCACGCACTCAGTGAACACACACACACCATGAACACACACCCACCCGGGGAGCAGTTGGGGATTCGGTGCCTTGATCAAGGGTCTCACCTCAATCGTGGTATTGAGGGTGGAAGAGAGCGCTGGTTATTCACTCCCCCCACCGACAATTCCTGCCGGACCTGAGACTCGAACCCACAACCTTCGGGTTACAAGTGCGACTCTCTAACTTACGTAACCTCGGTTCCCTGAGATACAGGAAAGAGTACTGCGTCGCTAGACGCTATGGGGGAAAAACTCTGAGGACTAAAAAAATTTTCTCTGAGGACTAAAGCCTTTTCAATCACGCAGTGTAACTGCACGGCCATTGGTTCGTGCAGTAAATAAAAAACGAACCAATGGCTCGGCAGCGGAGCTGAATGGGGGGGGGCATCTGGCTATATAAGCGGGCATTTCGCCATAGGATCTCAGGTAAATTCGACTGAAGCGACGACACTGAGTTGTGCAGCGTCATGGCACGGCAAGGAACGCAGTACTCGTTCCCGAATCTCAGGGAACCGAGGTTACATAAGTAACCGAGTACATACGTTCCCTTTCAATACTTCACTCGTACTGCTTCGCTAGACGCTATGGGGAACCAATACAATCCCGCCGTGCCATGAAAGAGGAACAACTGACATGAACTGGCCTTGAGCAATTAAGGCTCAGAGGGGCCATGAAAGAGGAACAACTGACATGAACTGGCCTTGAGCAATTAAGGCTCAGAGGGACCAAGTATAAGCAGGGTCAACCCTGCAGGAGGCAAGAGGGTCGAACTCACTGAGGTCAACCCAGCCTTGGATAATCATTCCAACAATTTTGTACAGCCTCAGCACTTCTAAAAGGGCTAAGAGCGTACATGAAGTCAGGCAACGCCTGAAGGATTAGACCGCCTTTAGGCAGGCGTGTGCCCATTTAGACAGATAGAATCCGAGCCTGTAAGGCCGGAACGTCCAAGTTATAGAACCTGGCGAAAGTGGACGTCGAGACCCAGCCAGCCGCCGCACAGATGTCTGCTATGGGCACACCGCTAGACCACGCCCAAGACGAGGCCACACCCTGAGTGGAATGGGCTCTAACTCCTATGGCGCATTGCAAGCCCAGGGAGGAGTATGCTAGCGCAATAGTGTCAACTAACCATCAAGACATTCTCTGCTTTGTGACCGGCTGGGGGTGCCAAATTGTCCTGTTCGCCTGAGAGAGAAGGTCCTGCCTCAGGGGAATGGGCCATGGGGCTGCTATCAGCAGCTGAGACAGCTCCGAGAACCAAAGCTGGTTTCTCCAGAGCGGGGCCACTAGAAGGACCCCGTGTCTGTGTTCCCTGATTCTCCTGATTACCTGAGGGATCAGTGCGATCGGGGGGAAAGCATACAGGAGGAGGTTGGGCCAATCGTGGGCCAATGCGTCCTCGCTCTTTGAAAAATAAATTGGGCAGTGAGAGTTGTCTTTTGAGGCGAAGAGGTCGATCTCTGCCTTGCCAAAGATCTCCCAGATTTTCTGAACCATTTGTGGGTGGAGCATCCACTCTTCTGAGGGGACGTTGCTCCGAGATAGCATGTCTGCTCCTTGGTTCAATACGCTGGGCACATGTGCTGCCCTCAATGAACGCAGGTTGAGATGTGCCTATTCAAAGAGGCATTTTACCATCTCGAAAAGGTGTTTCGAGGTGAGCCCGCCTTGGCGATTTATATCAGATATCACTGTCATGCTGTCTGAGCGGACTAGCACGTGGTGTCCCTTCAGGTCCGGTAAGAAGGTCTGAAGGGCTCGACATACTGCCATCATTTCGAGGCAGTTGATGTGTAACCGACCTTCTATGTCCGACCAGGAGCCGAAGGCCAGTTTGCCCTCACACAGAGCTCCCCAACCTGTGTTGGACGCATCCGTCGAGACAACCTTCCTTCTGAAAATAATGCCCATGGTCACGCTCTGCTTGAACCACTGTGGGTCTTTCCAGGGAGCCAGAGCTGTCATGCAGGCCTGGCTCACCCTGACACGAAGGTGTCCGTGATGCCACGCATGGGGCGGAATTTGTGGTTTCAACCAGTAATGAAGGGGTCTCATGCGTAGCAGACCCAGCTGTGATACCGGCGATGCAGAGGCCATGAGGCCCAGCATCCTTTGAAATGCTTTGAGAGGGCGAGAGGCTCCAATTTTGAAAGAAGCCGCGAGCTGTTGTATGGCCAGTGCATGTTCTGGCGAGCGAGTCATTGAGGTAATTCGGAATGCGGATTCCCATCTGTCTCAGAGGGAAGAGAGCCGCATCCATGCACTTTGTAAAAGTGTGAGGAGCCAGGGACAGCACGAAGGGCAGGACCGTGTATTGATATGCCACTCCCTCGAAGTCGAATCTCAAGAATCGTCTGTGATGGGGGGCTACCTGGATGTGAAAGTAAGCGTCTTTCAGATCCTGAGGAAAGAACCAGTCCCCTGGGCGTATTTGCGAGAGGCTCTGAGATCGAGGATGGGCCGGAGGCCGCCATCCTTTTTGGGGACGAGGAAGTAACTGCTGTAGAAGCCTGACTCGCTCTGAGCTGGCGAAACATCTCTCCAGCTCCTTTTGTCAGAAAATTCATCACCTCGGAGCGCAGGACGTGAGCGTCCTTGCTCTGCACTAAGGTGGGAACCACGCCACTGAATCGCGGGGGTCTTCGAGCAAACTGAAGTGAGTAACCTCATTTTATAATCCCCAAAACCCAATCTGACATTCTGGGGATGGCCTGCCAGGACTCGGCCCATGTGGCGAGGGGTTAGATTAGTTCGGGTGGTGGGTTGCCGTGAGGGGACTTGACACTCGCGATAAGTGGAAGAGGAAATTTGCTCTCTTTTTGAAAATGTTTGTTTTATTTTTCTCGCTATAACAGCGGCTGTTTGTGTGGCCGCTTTTAAAACGGGCCCAGTATTCACAACAGTTTTTGTGACAAAAATACAGCCACCGGTACCCGGAACAGAACGGAGTGTTTGGGGTGTGGTCCGGCAATGGCGAAACTTTGCCCCCTCCTCTTCCTGTCCAGAAGATCAGGACGACGCCCAGGGCTGGACTGGGACAAAAAATCAACCCTGGCATTTTTTGGTCCAGGCGGCCCACCACCACTTCGATATATATATACTATACCAGTCAAATGTTTTATTTCTTCATTCTTTTTGGCTCCACTTGTTTATTAATCAATCATTCAGCATGTGTATGAGTTCTGCTGTCTCGCTGCTGGCAGTAATCGAGGTCGCCTCAGGAGAGTATGGTGATCTGAACCCTGTGCTCTTCGAGGCGGTTCAGGGAGGCCTGTGTTCAGATGAGGGGAAGAAGAACTCCAGTGACAAGAACGACGCCACCACATCCTGTCCCTCCCAGTGTTATAATGTGAGCGATGGACACACACTCTCACCTACAAAATCCATCTGTTTATCAGTCTCTGACCCACCCACTTCCATTGTTATGTGTATTCATACAGGATTCAGGCTACATTGAGAAACACACTTTTGCCACAAGTACCCTCACACAGTTCTGCATCCTCTTCAAGAGAACCTTCATCACTATATGCAGGGACATGGTAAGAATTGTCCTCTATTGTTATTGGCTGTGCCATATATATTAAATGCTAAAGAAATGTGTGTGTTCAGGTATTAACCCACCTGAGGGTGATGTCACACCTGTGTATTGGTGTGCTGATTGGTCTGCTGTATCTAAACATTGGGAATGATGCCAGTAAAGTGTTCAACAACACTGGTTTCCTGTTCTTCTCCATGCTGTTTCTCATGTTTGCAGCACTCATGCCCACCGTCCTGACATGTAAGCCAATCTGTGTGTTTGGTTGTGTATGCTTGATTCTTTATGAGCATGGAAAATAGATTTGATATGAGTGATTAATAAATCTTTTCTGCTTTGTGATGGATTAGAAGTGCTCTTATTGGCTTGATTAAGACTTATGCTCGTTACAGAATCAGTGGAGCGGATTTAATTAAGCATTGATGCAACGATGTATTTATCTTGCAGTTCCACTGGAGATGTCTGTGTTTATAAGGGAGCATCTTAATTATTGGTACAGTCTAAAGGCATATTACCTGGCCAAGACCATGGCTGACATTCCATTCCAGGTACTTCTGTTTCTATGTCTTTACATGCTATAATGTTAAATCTAAGGGAGGATTGGAAGGACTTAAAAAGTTGGCATATAAGGGGATGAACATTTCTAAATGTAGGGGGGATATGTCAACCAATGCTTTACTGTGTCTGTCCCACTTTTCAAATCATTCCATGTGCCCCAGGTAGAATCCAAATGTCAGAACATGAGTTCTCCTCTGTCTCTTCCAGGTAATTTGTCCGATAATGTACTGCAGTATAGTGTACTGGATGACAGAGCAGCCTCCAGAGGCAGGCAGATATCTGCTCTTTATGGCCCTGTCCACCTTCACTGCCCTAGTGGCTCAGTCTCTGGGGCTTCTCATTGGAGCTGCGTCCACCTCCCTACAGGTGACTTCAAAACAGTGGTGGTAACATTCAATAGTTTGGTGTCAGTAAGATTTTTTAATGTTTTTTTTATTGCTCATTTATAGGCTGTATTTATTTTATCAACAATACAGTAAAATAGTAATGTTGTGAAATATTATTGCAATTTAAAATAACAGTTATCTATTTTAATATTTTTTGAAGTGTAATTTATTCCTATGATGGCAAAGCGGAATTTTTTATTTTATTACTCCAGTCTAAAGTGTAACATTATCCTTCAGAATTCATTCTAATATGCTGATTTGGTGCTCAATAAACATTTCTTATTATCAGCAATGTTGATTTTTTTCAACAATATATACATATATATTTCTTGTTGAATGAATTTTTTTGTGAAATATTTTTATAAAAACTGGAAGAATTTTTTTGTGACAGAGAAGTCAAAAGAGCAGCATTTAAATGAAATTAAAACATTTTGTAAGTATAAATGTCTTTACTGTCACTTTTGACCAATTTAATGCATCCATGCTGAAAGAAGTGTGAATTAAAAAAGAAAAAATAAATCTTACTCACATGCTCCGACATGTATATAAAAAAATACAAAATAGGTATGTAGTTAAAAATGTGTATAGTTTAATCTGCTGTACCCTATAAATGTTTAATTATACAAAGATGAAAATGTACCTGACCTGTACATGTAACACAGGGGTTTCAAACGTAAATTAAATAAATAATCTGTTTAATGAGTATTTTTATAACTTCAAACAGCCTTTAGACAACACAATTAGACAGTAATTACATTAAGTTTTAATGTATTGTTACTGCATTAAGCACAATTAATATTCTAATTTTGACAGCCTTACATTTAGTAAAATTCCATCAAATTATCAAAATTAATGTTTAAATTTGAAATCCCCTGCTTTAACTCACATCAGTGTCTTTTGCAATTTCAGGTTGCCACATTCGTAGGTCCGGTCTCTGCCATCCCAGTCCTTCTGTTCTCTGGCTTCTTTGTCAACTTTGACACCATCCCCAAATACCTGCAATGGAGCTCCTATGTGTCATACGTCAGGTTGGTCAAGAGCCATGACAATAACAATCCTAAACAGGCAATCCTAATCACAAAAAATCTCTCCCTCTACAGGTATGGTTTTGAGGGTGTGATCCTCTCCATCTATGGCATGAACCGCTCAGAGCTGGAGTGTCCCGGCGTGGCGTGCAAGTTCCAGAAACCAGAGGAGGTGCTGCAGCTGCTGGATGTGGAGGACGCTAAGCTCTACGTGGACTTTATTGTTCTGGGGGTCTTCTTCTTAATTCTGAGACTTGCCACTTACCTAGTTCTTCGTTATAAAGTCAAGTCAGAACGTTAGGGCCAAAACTCATCATTAGATATACATTTAATTTCACATACACCCATAAACTCTCATAAATGCACATAACGATATTTTTGCAATAGACACAGAAGCCAATGCACATTGATTATGGGGCCATTGTTTGGCCGTGCAACATTTATCCTCAGTTTTTGTTACTTGAAAAATATTTTTTTAATTTTCTAAGTATAGAATAGAAAATTAATATAGATTTTTTTGTTTTATTTCATTTTAATTTTTGAATGTATTCCATGCAGTAACAGTGTAAATGCATTTTACCCGTGACTGAACTTTGACAGGACTGGATGTATTTATAATGACAATCCCATGACAGCTCCCAATAGCATGTGGATTGGCCAACAGCCAACATGCGAGTGTCTTTATACCATATTGAAGGATCATCACATTGTCTCTCTGTTAATGCATTTAATTCCAACTGAAGAACGTCATCAAAATGTGTTTCGGAAGAGAGTGCACTGCATGCTTGGGGCACTTGAGGACATGCAAGCAGCAGAAGCGAGAACTGTGCGTGAGGCGTTTGGGATATTACAGACTATGAGAATGAATCGTCCAACCAGCGTATCTTCAATTCCATTTTTGTCTTCCCACAATACACTGAATTTGAGGAGAATAATACCTTCTGCTGAATATTAAGACTTTCATGATCTCCCAAGGCAATTCTGGGCAAAGCATCAACGTCAACCTGAATCTAACCGTTTGAGGAATGTTGCAGCAAGTGCCCTTGATGTGAACTGCCTATCATTTTTTTCTGAGGGGGAACTGGAATGCCTTGCTGGAGAAACATTTTGGCATTTTGTCAGTATCAATATGTCCTGTTACCTTGAATTCTCTGTCAACTGCCTCTGTGGTATCCTGCGAGAGAAACATACAAAAGTTTGTGGGCTTTTGCTCTCGTTTTCATCAAGAGGGATCAAACCTTGAACTTGTATAGTACAAAAACTCCCTACAGTGACCAAAAATATGTGAATCGGCTAATCACAAAGCACCACTGAACTGACTGCATTTAGCCAAAAGCAACACATATCAAATGTCAGAAAATCATTTGCAATTCTAATCCTATTGTACATCTTATGCGAACATCCATTACTGTCCAAATAGCACTCGCTGGCCTGTTTCTTTTTACTTCTTTTCGCGACTGTTCCCTGGACACTCAATCTGCACTGCTGAGGATGTCAGGACATTTGCGGTTAGTTGCAAGTGACACAATCATATACCTGGATAGAGATGCTGGATGAACACTTTATGCCATGCCATGGATAAATCTCCTGTTTGGACCTGTATGTACTTCCTCTTCCCTGCTTTCTCCCTTCTAGCATCCAGGCTATTCAATACTGCAATGCAATGCAAACATCTTCATAAATGACTCCGTGTTACTCTGGAAATCTTTTTGAGTCCTGCTGTGTTATGTCTCCTTATATAATGAAGACTACTAATAATCTGAATACATACACAAAGAAAAGTATATGTGTTATGGTTTAAGCAAGATTGTAAATACATGTATCCACTTTTGTTGATGTTGTTGTATTGGAACTTTTCTGGACATTTGTTTGTAATTAAGTTTATTTTTATATCCGTGAATATGACATGCAATTCTGGAAAAGGGAGTGTTGTGACTGGAAAATGCATGACGAATTTGAAATCAAAACACAAGACGCTGTGACAGAGGAATTTATGTTGCACATGTGTTGAAATCCAAAAAATACTTCCAAAATGATTGAAAAATCTGCAACGGGTTTATTATAGGACATCTTTGTATTGTTTTAGAACGCTACCATTGGGCGAGCTGACTCCGTTTTGAGCCATGTGAGTGGTAAAAATGTGATATACAGGCTTTGAGACCGGAAGACGGCCTCCAGAAAGCGTTTGCTTTTAGTAGCATTTAGTTCGAACACATAGTACTGTAAGGTACGATTGCTCTTTTTCTAGAACAATCTGTCTGCTGAAACATTGCACACAGCTTTAAAGTTGATCTTTTGGTCATTCTGCAATTAAGGAATTGCTGCTGTAAAATCATTTTTGCTTTTTTGCCATATGGTATACCCAGGGAAAAACTCCCAAGGCCAACTCTTGGTTGTGGATGTTTTTGCAGGAGCACAGGCTCCATTTTCAAAAGAGCTGCTTTAGAGCAAGAGATCATTGAAGCTATTAGCTGCTCAACAGTCAACAATCCAGTATTCAATATTCCTTAGACAAAGATTGTTATATGTTCTATTTCCTTTTGAGTCATTGGAGAGGTTTAGAATAAGGAAATGTTCACCATCAAGAATCTGTCTTCTAATGGTACACAGGCATCTAACGTAGAGAGTTGGGTAATACCTGTTTCTAATAGCAATATTATTGTTCTGTGCCTAGTGAGTGATATTTCCTATCTAATCCTTGAATATTCGATATATTTCCAGTGTTCGTCTGTCAAATCTCTATTGTGTACAAATCATCATTTTGCGTGTCTGTCATTAGTATGTGTCGATATGTGTTTCTGTATGTGGAGTCTCAGCTGAAAGATGTTGAGAGACGCCCGGATGAGATCATATTTCACACAAACTTATGTTTAATTATATTATTTCTCTTTAAGCAAAATCACGTTTTTTGTTACTCAGAATGCATGCCTTAACGAATGAGAAGCATTTGACGGTTCTCAGATTTGAAAATAAAAAAGATAAGCAGGTAGAGTGCAAATTCATTTTTGAGATATTGAAAAAGTCTTTTGTTGATTCGGTTTTGGGTATGAAAATATTTTGCGAGGTTTTGGCTTGCACAGCAATGAGAGTTAATGCAGTTTGCTTCCCAGTTTTGCTGCATAATTATTATATTCGTCTCATAAGAAATGCAAGTTATGTGTGCTAAACCTTGTTCAAATGATTATAATAAATGCATTTATATATTACCTACACCTATTGATGATGATTTCTGTCTCTATAGTGGTCCGGGATACACATATTTCAAATACTCTGTAACTTAATTTTTTTTTTTTTTCAAGAAAACACTATTTTAGTAAATTTTATTTTTCTAACCCTGCAGTCAGTTTAATTTGGACAACCTGCTTGAAGGGATTGTCCAACCAAAAATTACAATTCTGTCATTATTTACTCACCCTTGTGATGTTCACTTTCTTTCTTCTGTGGAACACAAAAGAAGATATTTTGAAGAATGTTGGTAACCATACAGTTTCGATATGCACTGATTTCCATTAAATTGGAAGTCAATAGGGACTGAAACTGGTTATCAGCATTCTTAAAAATCAACGTGATCTCATGATAATTCGTAGGCTATGTATAATAATTTTACGTAAAATGTGGTTCTATAAAACGTACATTTACTTACCTTTCACAGGCATCATCAGCATTTAAACGTACAAAACTGAAGTATTGACGACACCTAAAAATGAATCCGTATGAATATATTGAAATCACAGCATTAATTTTATTATTGTTGTTTTTAGTTGTCATATCAATGACCTTGTTTTCAATTGCATTATTAAATTGCAAGCCTTTATTTGGCGATTCATCTCCATCCTGAGCAGCGCATCCAACGACAAGTAAAGCATAAAAGCCCGCGCTGACTGACGCGCTCTTTACAAATTCAAATGTTGCCGCTTCAAACCACAGGTTTTACTGCAGGAAAATCGAACGCTGCATTCGTCACAGATTGCGACGTGCCGTGTTTCTGGTGAGGTGTGTTTGAATGATGCGCGCGGGCCTTCACGAGTTCACATGACATAATCTGGATAATATTTTCAGCTATTAACAACATAAATTCTGCTTTGCACCTCACACAAACCTACTGTATCCGCCAGAGAGGACTGTGGCTGCAACGCATCGTCATTTATACTTTTGGTACTGCTTTTGACATTTCTGTAATAAATAAATGATTGTAATTGCATTTATCTGTCTGTCATGTTTTTCTTAAACTGTACAGAAATAGTTATGTTTAGGTTTAGAGGTAGGAGTGGGATTAGCAACTATAAAAATATTTGTAATGCTATATTTTTACTAAAATGGTTATTTTCCTGCATATTCGGTCAATTGCGTTTTATATCCTTTTATATTCGCTATAAAATGGGTAGGTTTAGATTTGGGGGTAGGTTAAGGGGTCTAAAAATCTAAATCGCTTATTGATAAAATGATAAAAATGCATATTCGCTATAAAATGGGTAGGATAAAAAATGCATTTATACGAATATTTTAATGATATAAAAGATACGTAAATATTTTACGTTTTTTAGCTAAAAATACGTAGTGATTTGTTTGTTTTAAACGTTGAAATACGTCTAAATTGCACGTTTTAGCATAAATAAAAACTTACAAAAATTTACATTTTGTGCTTGTAAATGTTTAATACCTACGTATAAACAATGAGACCAGGCTGTAAAAATACATAAAGGTTTGGAGCGAAATGAGAGTGAGTAAATGATGACAGAATTAAATTTTTGGATTATCCATTACAATGAATTTTATTGAATATTTAGTGTATAAATTACACTTTTTTTCTAATGTATGTTGTTATGAATCCAAACCTGTACAGATAAATAATATGGTAGCATAAGTGTTATCTAAATGCTTGGTACTGCTGCCATTGATACCATCAGGACCTTTGAATTGTGTTAGGATGGTCTCAGAATGTCCTTGAGCCCCGTGTCAGATTACATTGGTTTCATTATTCTTCTAATTATCCTGATTATACTCTCTCAGAAAAGATAAAAAACTTTAATCTTAGCTGAGCCTTTCGTTTCATGGCACATTTGCAGTTGGCGGGTTAGCACTGTGCACTTAAGAGGAGACATATTGACAGCTCTGGATGAGTCTTCTCTCTACCCAACATCCATCTGGCTTCCCCTCATAGGCCTTCCATCTTCCATCTCTTACACCTAGACAAAAATGTATTCACAATTTGCTGTTTTTAAGCAATTGTATAAGCCAGTGAATAGTCCTTGCAATAGGACCATGCAGTAAAGTTATGTGAGAGATGTGTTCACTGCTGGTGTGAAATTTACAGAGAGAATGACTGTGTGTGGGTTTTACACCCAGGGGTCAAGAACAAAATGCCCCTCTTTGTGAGCACACAGTCAGATTAACCATTAAAAGTGGAGCAGGACAAAGAACACATGAGAGAAGTATATC